GGACTCCCCTGATGGGCTGCAGCTCCCATTGTTGAGTGCAAGAACAGGGGCCGTGAGCAGGCCAAGCAAGGCAAGGTTGCAGCACCTGTCAGCATACATGTGGGCTGGGTGTGGGTGCAGGACAAACCGGGCTATACTCTAGCACCTGCTGGTGCTCATGAGCCAGGATGAATGTAGGACAGGCCAGGCTAGATCATGGCACCCACCAGGTCACATGAGAGTCAGGTCTGCAGGTAGGTTAGGTTATAGCACCCACTGGTGTTAACTGGAATGAGATTGGGTCAGGCTAGGCCACTTGCCAGTGAGGGCCAGGACTGGGGGTCTGCCGTATCAGGCTGGGCAGCAGCATCCAACAGCACATGGAAGATCATTGCTAGGCTAGGGCTGGGGGCAGACTAGACCAAGCTTGGTTGTAACACTCATGGCATATGTGTGGGCTTGGACTGGGTCAGTCCACAGCACACCCTGACCCGAGTGAGGGCCAGGATGGAATACATGCCATGCCCAGTTGGACTGCAACACTACCAGTTCACACGAGGGCTGATACTGGGAGTGGGCTAAGCTGGGCCAGGCTGCTGTACCCATTGGTGAGAGCTGGACTGGGGGAAGGCTGCCTGAGCCACACTGTAGCACCTGCTGCTACATGCCAAGACTAGGGGTTGGCTATCTCAGACTGGTCCACAACACCCGCTGGCACGCCTAAGAACGCAGGGCTGGGAGCAGTCCTACTAGGGGAACCTAGAGGACCTCTCTACTGGGCCACTGCTTTCTCAAGTGAGCGTGAGAGCTGAGACTGGGAGCAGGTCAGGCTGGGCTAGACTACTGTACCTCTGGCACACAAGACAGCCAGAATGTGTGCAGACCAGCTGGGCCAGGCTGCAGTATCAGCTGGCAAGTTCCAGGACTGGGTATGAGTCATGTAAGGTTTGACTGCAGTAACCCCTGGCAGGTGCAAGATTCAGCACTGGGAGCGTGCCTGGCAGAACAATGTGTACTTCCCTGCTCAGCTGTGCCTTTCTGCTGGTGAATATAAGAACTAGTGCTGAGTGCCAGCCAGCCTGGACAAAGCAGCGACACCTGCTGGCATACATGTGGGCTGGGTCTGGGGGTGGATGAGCGGGCTGAGCTAAGTCACAGCACCCCTGGGTGTGCACAACAGCCAGCTGGGTTGTAGGTTGGGCTGAGCTAGGCCACAACAGAGACTGACATGCGCAAAAACCAGGGTTGGGGTGGGTCTGGTGGGAGTTATTGCGGTTTGCCCCGACTAGACTATGGCACATGATGGTATGTGTAAGGACCAGGTCTCTGACGGGCTGGCTGGCTGGCTGGGCTGCAGCACCCATTAGTTCCCATGAGGTATAGCGGTAGAGATGGAACTGACCACACAGCTGTATCCACCAGTACATGCGCTGGCCAGTGCACCTGACCCTGTACTGGCTGGCGCACACAAAAGTCTGAGTTCATCCCAGACAAGGTTTCTTGGGTGACTCTCCAACTAGAATGCTGGCCACAGGGTGTGTTATTCAATCTTGGAGTGCATGTATCAAGGCTGGGCCAGGTCTCAGTCGCTGACGCCTGTGCAGTAAACAACATGTCTACATGCATGGCCCATGGAGGCCAGCAGGGGACGCTAGCTGCCATGTCAGAGGATGGGAAGCACAACAGGTTGAACCATTCTGCAGCCCAAACTTTGCAGCACCTTCCTGGGTCTGCGGATGCACTAAGGTGGACTTTGCCAGCCAGTAGACCTTCCAAAGATTTTTCTCAACCCTAGAGCAACAAAATCAATGTCTCAGGGCTACTGGAATTACTCAAGGTTCTGGTGTGGTAGCCTAGTGGCTAAAGTCCTTGCCTTGCACACCCGGGATCCCATATGGGCACCAGTTCATGTCCCAGCTGCTCCGCTTCCCTTCTAGCTCCCTGCCTGTGGCCTGGGAAAGCAGCAGAGGATGTCCCACTGCCTTGGGACCCTGCACCTGCACATGGGAGATCCAGAAGAACCTCCTGGTTCCTGGCTTCAGATCAGCTCAGCTCTGGCCATTGCAGCTACTTGGGTAGTGAACCAGCAGATGGAAGATCTTTCTATCTCTTCTTCACTCTGTAAATCTGACTTTTCAATAACAATAAATAAACAAATTTTTTTAAAAAAAGAAATCACTCAAGTTAACGCCCTTGAACACTCTTGCCCACGTTGAGGTCTCTAAGGTGTCATCAAATGACCATCGCCCACCGTGGCCACTGTGGGGTCACTGTGGGGTCACTGTGGGGTCACTGTGGTACCGATGCAGTTTGACAGCAAGAGGTGGCTTCTTCCCCCTTACCCCCTGGGGACACAGGAGAAATAAAACTTGAAACATGTGTCCCACTGACCTGACCGGATCCTTCCCACCCTAATCAGAGGCCCACACAGGTGTGTATCCCTCTCAAATATGTAAACAATACTAAAAGAAATTTTTAAAAAGTTCAGCATTACAAACCAAGAGCAGAGACTGCAGGGCTGGCAATGACAGAGAGAAAAGAGTGCCTGGGGCCACTTGTTTCCTCTAGACTTCAATTCTTTAATAATGAAAGTATATCATTGTTTTGGGGGGTGGGGAACAAAGGAAAGTTAAGATTCAAAGTAAAACACAAATCAGCACACTGCACTCCACTCCCGTGGTGGGACGATGTCACCTGCTGTGCTTCCTTTTTTTGGACCAGCCGGAAACCCAGTCCTAAGTGAATGAACGTGCACTGGGTGGCTGTGTTGGAAGCCGCCATGCTTTAGGTGGGTCATTTACCTGGAATTTCACATATACCTTAATAGATAAGAACCCACACAGGTACTTAGGTATGATGTAATGTGAAACCCATCTCAAGCAGGGTACACGCAAAGTGGAAGGTGGTGCTGGACCTCTCGGGTGGCACGTGTGCCCACTGGGCAACCTTTGTGCATAAGGCCCACAGTGCCTGCTCCCCACAGCCAAGTGCCTGAGTTCAAGGCCCAGCTCTGCTTCTGACTCCAGCTTCTGGCTGTTGCAGTCACTTGGGGAGTAAACCAATGGGCAGAAGATCTTTCTCTCTCTTTCTCCTTTTCTCTGTAAAATTGACTTTCAATAAAAATAAATAAATATTAAAAAAAAAAAATTCTCAGCTTCTGGCTTTAGCCTGGCCCCTGGTTCTAAACCTTTTGGGGGGAATTTCGGTGAATGAACCAGTGGATACTCTCTCTGTCTCTCAAATTAAAAAACAAAATAACAAAACACTAGCTGGGAGCCAGCATGATAGCTCAACAGACCAACCCTTCGGCACCAGCATCTCAAATGGGCACTAGTTTGTGTCCCTGCTACCCCACTTCCCATCCAGCTCCCTGCTTACGACCTGCAAAACCAGCAAAGCGTGGTTCAAGTCCTTGTAGCCCTGTACCCACCTGGGAGACCCAGAAGAAGCTCCTAGCTCCAGATTGGTTCAGCTCGGGCCCTTGTGGAAATCTGGAGAGTGAACCAGCATTTTGAAAATCTCTATTTGTCTTTCCTTCTCTCTGTAAATCTTTCAAATGAAAATGAATAAATCTTTTTTTTTAAAATATTTCTTTTTATTGGAAAGGCAGATTTACAGCAAGAAGGAGAAACAAAGATTGTCTACCCTCTGGCTCACTCCCCCAGTGGCTGTTAACAGCCAGAGTTGAGCCCATCCAAGCCAGAAGACAGGAGCTTCTTCCAGGTCTCCCATGCAGGTGCAGAGTCCCAGGGCTTTGGGCCATCCTCCACTGCTTTTCCAGGTCACAAGCAGGGAGCTGAATGGGAAGTGGAGAGCTAGGATGGGAAGTAGCATCCATATGGGATGCCGATACTGGCAGGAGGAGGATTAACCAATAAATCCATCACAGCAGGACCCCCCCCCCTTCAAGTGAATATTTCTTAAAATAAATAAAGTAGCTAAAACTAAGAGATGTTGGGTTTTTCTAAGTATGTAAAACTGCAAAGAAAAAACATAAGTGGAATTTTTTAAGTGGAGAAGTACATTCGTTTTGTCTAGTAAAGCTTAGTGAGTCGAGACAGACACAAGGCATGCTCTGTGACCCCGCAGGTGCTTGGGATCCTTCACGTCACACAAAGGAAAGCTCAAATGGCCAGACGGGGCACCTGAATCAGCCCAGGCCACACAGCTGAAGGCAGCTCAGCAGTCCAGGAAGGCGGCCCAGAGGGCAGCCGCAGGTCACTGCAGGATGAGCCGCCAGAGGCAGGGCCCTCCTGGTTCTCTCCAAACACCCAGTCACACTGAGACGCCAGGAAGGTGGACACAATGCCCTCTGCTTGGTCCCAGACCACACTAGGGCAGGGGCAGGCAATGAGGACCCCAGATGACCTGCAGCAGGGCAGGCCAGGCGCCCCCACTCTATTGGAAACCAGGCTGCTGTTCCCCTGTTTCCACAGCGCAATATCCTAGAAATTCTTGATTCAGGGATTCGAAGCCATTACACTGTCTGACTCTCAGTGTCGCTTGGTTACAATGTATTTGATGTACACACACAGAGAGCTGCAGGGCAGACATCTGGCCTGGCAGTGTAGATCTCATTTGGGATGCCCATACTGGAGTTCCTGAGTTCAAGTCCCGACGCCTCTCCTGACCTCAGCTTCCTTCTAATGCACACCCTGGGAGCCATCAAGGATGGCTCGGGTAGCTGCATGGCTGACACCCACATAGCAGACCTGCACTGAGTTCCCGGTCACAGCCCAAGCCCAGCTGCAGCCACTATGTGGAGAGTGAACCAGTAGGTGGGGAGCTTTCTTGGTCTCTATATCTCTCTGCCCCTCGAATAAACCAATGTTTTGAAATTTCAAATTCTGGCTTAGAAGCCATGTTCTGGGAATGGTGGCAGGGAATGGAGGGAGAACTGATTGTTTCCACTCTAAACTTTTCTATGCCATGGAATGTTTTTTAGCTTCTCACATTAAAAAAAATAATAATAATAAATGATTTACAAAAAGAAAGAAGGGAGGAGAGAAGACAGGACCTACCAAAGATGAAGTTATCAGGCCGGAAAAGCTGTCCAAAAAGCCCGGATCTCACACTGTCCATGGTGCCCGGTTCCAGGTCCACCAGGGCAGCCCTGGGCACATATTTCTGAGCTGGAGGAGGAAAAAAAAAAGTGCATGTTATTCTCTGGTTTCCAAGGTGACTGACTCCCAAGCGAGTCCCACCTGGAAGGGAGTGGCCAGCGCCTTGGCAGAGGCCACCGTGAGTTTCCACTATTCCGAGAAGGTTAACACCAGGGTGGGAAGGTGGCCAGCAGGAATCAGGCAGGGGACTCCTGGGAGAGGCAGGATGAGGCACCAGCCCTCCTGGCTGCCTGCCTCCTGGATCTGCCACTTCCCTCTGACACCTGTTTGCCATTGGCAAGTTTTCCCATCCCATGGAAATACACTGGGTGGCGCAGCAAAACCAATCCCAGCTCCAGGCTGAGCCATCTCCCAACAGGCGTTCCTTGGTTCTGGCTACCCCTCCACTCCCTTCACCCCTTCCCTGACTCTCATTTAGGGGTCAGTGCTTCCCCGAGAGCACTTCCACTTGGAAGCACTGGCCCCAGGGAGAGAGAGGTTAACAAAGCTCCAAACAGGAACTTCCCTGGCTGCAAGCACACACACCCAGGTGGAAGAGCCAGCTGGGGCCGACAGGGTTAACAGGAAGTGCGGCACACACTGGAATTTTCCCACTGCTGCCTAGAAATCCCACCTTCCCCTGCCTGGTGTCACAGCTGCTCCAAGTGAACAGGACCCGGTGACTCACACACAGCAAGTGACCCCTAGCGGACTGGTGACCGGGTGTGGGGGCAGGGGTCCCTCCAGGACCCAGTGTATGAACACCACGACAGCAGCACAGGGCACCTGCTCACTGCTCTCCCACATCTGGGTTTCCTGTTGTTTGGGGAAGAATACCACGCTGATAATAAAAGCTGCGCTGGAACTGCCTACAGCACAGCTTGTGTTCAAGGGTAACAGAAAAACAATCGTGTCAAATGGGAGTAAGGGGTGAGCGTGCCGGGGTAGCCTGGTTTGGGTCCCACCTCTGGCTCCTGATGCAGCCAGTGACTGACAGTGTACACCCCGGGAGGCCACAGTGGGGGCTCCAGATATTTTGCTGTGGGAGATGGAGATTCTGCTCTGGGCTCCCAGCCCCCACTGGGTGAGAGCTCGGGTCTCTCCTCCTCTTTCGATAACTGAAACAACCAAAGTTTATCCAGATGCAAGAAAATGCTGAAACCCAAGCCCACCGGGGACCTTCAAACAGTTCACAGCGCGCTTGGAACTCTATGGCCAGACTGCACTACCTGATCATTGCAAGCAAACTAACTCACCCTTTATTCCATTTCTCACCAACTTGCTGAAGGGCGTACCCAGCATAGGAGCGGAATTATTTCCAAACTTGGTCAAACCACGGCCTGCAATTGTTCTTAAACTTCATCAGCCACCCAGACCCGCCGCGGTCTCAGCCTCTGAAGTCGTAGGAGAAAGGATTTTCTCCTCCCACCCCCTCCAAGAAAACAAAAGGTTTCGCCAAGAACTCCCCGTTAGGAGTTCCTTTTCAACTGAACTTTTGTCCAGCATGCTTGAGAACCACTCCCCGTTGCGACTTCGTTCCTTCTTAAGGGACACCAAGAAAGGGGGCGCTGTTCAGGGCGCCCCAACTGAGTTGGGTGTCTTACTGGCTGCGCGGTTCAGAGGCCCAACCCCGCAGTTTGAATAAAACCGACCACGGCTTTCCCGCCCCCTCCTCCCCCCCGGGGGAGGGCAGCGAGGGAGTGGCCCGCGTCCTGCTGGTCCCCGGGAGCGCGCGCCCGGCAGCCGCCCAGCCTCGCATCCCCGCGGCCCCTGGAGCCCAAGGGTTGGTGGCCGGCACGGGGTCGTCGGGTGCGGGGAGGGCAGGGCCGTGCTACTCACAGGATGACTCATTGTAGTAGACGTTGATCCGCTCCAGCTGCAGCGCCGAGTCCCCCACGTAGCCTCCGGCCGGGTCGATGCCGTGCTCATCACTGATCACTTCCCAAAACTGGAGAGGAGCAAATGCATCAGGACCCGGAGCCCAGGAAGACCCTGGCGCGCTCACCGCCAGGGGCGGGGACGCGGGGCCCGAATTCCAGGCGCGCCAGAGCCGCAGCCGGCCGCTCCCAGCCGGGACGGAAAGTTTTGCTTGGGGGAACAGGGGTCCCCGGCCCCGCGCCTCGGCTCGGGCGCTGGCTCGTTCGCTCCTCGCCTGGCACCCGCGAGGGGCGTCGGAGACCCTCGGATACAGCGCGAATGCGCGCCCCGGCGGGGCGGTCGGTCCCGTTAAATCACCCTCCCGCACCCCGCAGCCCCTCGCCCCCTCAGTGCCCACCTTGGTACCAATCTGGTTCCCGCACTGGCCCGCCTGGATGTGCACGATCTCCCTCATGGCCGGCGCGACTCTGTGCTCTGGGCGCTGGCTCTGGGGACAGCGGCAGCTGCAACTGCGTCCCTCGCCGCTCCCGGGGCCTCGACCCTGCGCGCCCGCCCCGCTTCGCCGCCTCCCCCAGCCGCCTCCGACCAATGGCTGCGGGCCGCGCCCTCCCGGCCGCCCCCGGCCGCCCCTCCCAGCGCCCGGCGTCCGCAGCCCGCGCCCCCGCAGGCATCCCTCTGCCGGGACCCAGACCCTACGGCGACTCAAGCCCGAGGGTGGCCGAGGGGGACAAGCCGAGAGATACCCTGGCCCGGGACGCAGGGCCGGGCAGGAACGAGTCACTTAGGACAGAAGTGGGACGGGACCGTGGAGACTTTGGGGGAGGAGGGAAAAGAAAGGACATGCGGCTGCTCCCCGCGCACTCTTGCTGCCCTCTCGTTGTGTCCCGGTTGGGGATCGTGGCTGTTGCTGCCGAAGGCCACCGGCGCCCAGGGGTGGATCGTTTTGGAGACGCGACCACAGGAGCCTTTCGGGAGCCCCCACCCCCGACACGCGTCCTTAAGTCCTCGCCCTCCTGCGTCCCTGTCTCCGGGGATGCAGGGACTCTTCCCTCCTGGCGACTCGGCTGGCCGTGTCTCCTTGCCCTCCTCTGAGGTGAAGGCGCCCTGCCCCGCCGCCTCCGCAGCCTCCCCGGGAGGGAGTCGGCGCTGGAAGCACCCGGGGGGCCTTGGGATGGAGGGCGCGCCGGACTGGGCTGCGCCCTCAGCCTCCCGAGCTTTTCTTAGCTTTGGCCGTCGGAGGGAGGGGTGCGCCCGCGGATGTTCTTTGTTCGGACGAGCGTAGCGCCTGGAGAGGAAGCTTGACTTTTTTTTTTTCCCCTCCCAGGCTCCAAGACAGAAGCCTCCCCAAGATGCGGGGATTCCCGGGGCAGGGGACACGGGGAAGTCTTTTGAATCAACGCCATCCGCGAGGCTCACTGTGCGGGTAGTGTGGCCTCAAGGGACCAGCCGTTGGACGTGTGAATCCGGGAGACTCGCAGCCCGATCCTGCTTCCGTTTGCAGGGTGCACTCAGTGATGGCTCACTGTCTTCCCGTAATAGGAAAGGGCAATTCCTGGTGACCACTCAGAGCTTGGGGGGACTCTGAGTCGTTTGCTGGTCGTGGTGAGGGGTGTCTGAAGGTGCAGCCAGCTAAAGCTTTGATTCAAGTGTTCCTCAGGGCACAGGGTCTCTCTGAACCCCTTGGCCACGTGTGACGAGGAAGCAGCTGTGCTCTGTATTTGCACCAGCGGCTGCTTCTCCTATGTAGAAACATTGGGGGGACATCCTCGTGTAGTGGGGGTTGGATGGGAAGGAGGCGATGACCTATCAGAGCGTTTTGCTCTCCTGGAGTTTTGCAGATGTGCCCAACATTAGGGATATTAGCCCTGGCGCTGCCCCTCCACCTGCCACCTTGCACCAGGACACACCGCTGGGAAGCGGGTCAGGAGGCCACTTGGCGCTGCCCTTGCCTCCTCCCCCTTCCGGCTCTGAGCCTGTGATCACGACTCTCGCCTCCAAGAACTCTGGTCCTTTATGCGGGACATAATTATGGTCTCCGCGTAAATGCCGCCTTTCCCTGGGCTGCTCAGCGCCCAGCAGGCAGGCAGCCAGAAGATGCCTTGTGTGGTCTCTCAGCTTGGGTCGCTCACTCCCTAGGGAGTGGCAGCTGGAATGGGGGCGGTCTCTGGTCTCAACATGTCCCGCACCTGTTTTCCCCTCCTCTACCTTCAAGACTATTTCACGGTGAAGAGTCAGGGTTTCCTAAGCATGCCCTGGGCCCTCAAGCCCTCAGTCCACGCTCTTGTACCTTCCCAACACATACATACACAAACCTCAGGCCCCCTGGGGGAGGAAAGATACCTTTGGGCCCACAGTCCTGAATGCTGCGGTGCCATCTAGAAGCAGTTGTGGGTACTCTGGGGCAGAGGCCTTGTAGGGAGGGGACAAGTTTCCAGACAGGGCATGCCTGCCTGGGTCTAAGGCGGCTGTGGAAATGCGAAGCCAGGCCCTCCCAGTGCTGCCCCTTCTCCAGTCTTGCTGGCTTTTCTCCGTGCCTTGGTCTACCCCTCGCTCCTCTGACTGTCCCCCTTTCGCTCATGCCAATTCATTCACCTACTCTGGGGAAGGGTCCTGAGCCCTCCACCCAGATTTTAATACCTTCCCAAGCTTGGCCAAATTCCCAGAGGACAAGGCATCATCAGGCACTTGAGCTAAACTGATGGTAGCTGGTGGCAGGCATGGAGAGAATCTTTGAGATGAGAGGATGGCAGGCCCCCTGTCTCCTTGACTCTCCACAACAAGCCTTATTCCATCTGTTCCTCCAGGCAGGGAGAGGCAGGAAGTGGAGACAGACAGGTGCCACAGGATTCATCCTCTCTGGACCGCTGTTAGGACTCCCAGGACAGTTAACAAAGCTGTAACTCCCTGCCACCTGACCAGGGCAAGCGGGCTTAGGGCCACAGCCACAGGCTCCGGGCCACAGAGCTGGGGTCAGCTCTATGCTAAGCTGGAGTTAAGCTCTTTTGCTCTCTGGTGCCTCCCGCAACACATTGTCAAAATTTACTCTCTGGAACTTGCACTGAAAAGAGGAACCAAGAGCCTGCTAATCCAGCGAGGGGCACCTGGGGCCCATGTCAATGGTGCAGGCATTTAATCACGGCCACATGGCCCAGGCTACGCCCAGCACTGTTTAGATGGACAGGTTTTCTTGGGTTCTCATTCTTTTGAGAAAACCATATCTCGTATGTAGTATAATATATAGATATCTACGGATTTATTTTTTACATAGATTTATGTTTATTTTTATTTATTTAACCAGCTGTGCATACAGGCCAAATGGATATCAGTTTCTGGAAACCGTGTGCTAGGGCGAAGCAGTGGAAAATATTTGAGAATTCTTTTGCACCCACACTTGTCTTTGAATTCCATTTTCCATGAACTTTGTGAAACAGAGAGCCCTGGGCGATGTAACGGAGGGATGACATGACTTGCTCTAGGGAGCAACGCCTTGGCCTGCCAGCCGTGGTCCCTCACAGGGTGCTGATGGGCCCCTGGAGGCTGTGATGGCACGTGAGGGCTCAAGACTGGCACCCAACCTGTAACTGAACTTCAAGCTTCTCCGTGAGGACACGGAATCCGCCATCAGAGGGCCTGGCTGCGGTGAGTACCACGGGAGGGGAGCCCATGGGAGCTCTCTCCGCCTCACTAATCAATTCATTATTTTAAAAGCGAAGTGATACTTCCAAGAGGCTTTATCTTCTCCCTGGGAAAGAACAGAGCCCTTCCTGACAATGGATCTAGACTTTTCTGTGGTTGCCTGGAGCTCTGCTGGGATACACAGCATTGAAGAGCCGGCCCCTCCCTGCATCGCAGCTGCTTATCTGGTCACACCACCTAACTCCAAGTTATCTCGATGGACAGCTGGTGCTGCCCATCTGGCCACGGCCAGTGTCCGCAGCGCCGGCACGGGGTTTACTGGACCGAGGCCCAGGGTGACTGAGCTGCCCCCTGTGAGGCCTGCCATGGGGAGGAGAACCAACACCATCCCCGGGCCATCCGCCCTCTGGGCTTCAGGCTGCCGAGGGTGGCTGGGTTCCAGTTGCCGCTTCAAGCTTCAGTTCTGGGGCTTTTCATTTGCGAGAGCGACAGTGACTGCGAGACATTCACCTTGTCTGTGATGGGCCAGGCCCCCGGGCAGCCCTCTTCCACCAGGCACTGAAGGGCCCTGGGTCTTAAAATCTCTGGTCCTGGGTCCGGCGCGGTGGCACAGTGGTTAAGGTCCTCGCCTTGCACGCCCGGGATCCCATATGGGTTCTATCCTGGCAGCCCTGCTTCCCTTCCAGCTCCCTGCCTGTGACCCGGGAAAGCAGTCCAGGACGACCCAAAGCTTTGGGACCCTGCACCTGCGTGGGAGACCCGGAAGAGGCTCCTGGCTTCGGATCGGCATAGCATCGGCCGTTGCGCTCACTTGGGGAGTGAATCATCGGTCGGAAGATCTTCCTCTCTGTCTCTCCTCTCTGTATATCCGCCTTTCCATCTTTAAAAAAAATCTCTGGTCCTCAGCCCTGGGCTTGCTTGTAACTCCTTGTCTAGCAGCCACTCAGCTGGGGCCGGCATTTGGCACAAGAGTTGGGACTTTGCTTGGGACGAGCAGCGGAAGACAGCCAAGTGCTGGGGCATCCATGTGGAAGACTGGGGCAGAGATCCTGGCTCCTGGCTTCAGCCTAATCCAGCCCAGTCTGTTGCTGCTGTTTAAGAAATGAACCAGCAGGTGAACGTCTCTCTTTCTCTCCTTCTATCTCTGTAATTCAATAAATACATAAAACTCTCAAATAAATAAATATATTTTTAAAGAAAGATTTATGTCTTTTTATTGAAAGTCAGAGTTACAGAGAGAAGCAGAGACAGAGGGGAAGATCTTCCATCTTCTTGTTTGCTCCCCAAGTGAGCGCAACAGCTGGAGCTGAAGTGACCTGAAGCCAGGAGCCAGGAGCTTCTCCCAGATCTGCCATGCAGGTGCAGGGTCTCAAGGCTTTGGGTTGTCCTCTCTTGCCTTCCCAAGCCACAGGCAGGGAGCTGGATGGAAAGCGGGGGGAGGAGGAGCCGGGATTAGAACCGGCACCCATATGGGATCCTGGAGTGTGCAAAGTGAAGACTTCAGCTGCTAAGCTACTACGCTGGGCCCAAATAAAAAAAAGAGTCTTCCACTTGGGGAGTGAGTCCTCTCCTCTCTGTGTCTCTGACTTTCCAATAAAAATAAACAAATCTTTAAAAACAACAACAACAACAACAAAAGCTTCCATCTGCTGGTTTACTCCCCAAATGGCCGCAAGAGTCATAGCTGAACTGATCCAAAGCCAGGTTCTTCTTCTGGGTCTACTACGTGGGACTTGTGCCATCGTCCCCTGCTGCTTTCTCACGCCGTAAGTAGAGAGCTGGATCAGAAGTGGAGTATCCAGGACACAACAGGGTGGCAGATTATCCTGCTGAGCCTGGGGACCAGCCCTGTAATAAGCACTTTAAAAT